TATGTATTTAGTAATATTTACCAAATAAAATAACAGACAAACGTTGTTATATTGTATTAATTATTGTTGTATTTTCTTCTACGAGGGCTCAATAACCAAAAAATAACAAAAAAAATGATAATACATTTTCCAATCATAATGGGTTCAATACATAGGTAAGCATATTTTTTTTTTTATACATATTTTATTAGTCTTACGTAATGTTAATAATGAATATCACATGTTATAAATAAAAAAAGAAATAAAACCGTTATAATTATAAATGAAATCACTTAACAGTGTATATTATTTTAAAAGCAATTGTATATTATATTATAATAGAGCAATACAAGAGCGATTTAATTTTTATAATGAACCACAATGCTAAAAACTCGCGTGTGTATGAGTGTGCCTAAAAAAAAGGTTATAACCTAATAATATACCTAATATATAATTAAAAGTTATTATTTAAATTTATTATTAATAGCTATATTATATTTTATTTTATTTAGTCATAGTGACAAAATGTAATAGATAATAAACAATAATAATTTGTTTATAAATACATAGTATATATTATATAAATATTTAAAAATGTTTCTACAATTGTAGATTGTAGATTCAATATAAGTTAATTAAATACGAAAATATGTACACAATATTATTCAAATATAATTTATCATTAATAATATAAGTACATATTTTTATTAATGATGTTATTTTAAGTTTATTTTTTTTATTCGTAAAACACTTATTCTATTTACAAAGAACTTTTTTTGTTTCACTTTATTGGGGTATTAATTTTGTTTTGTAGACCATTCATCATGCTTTGTATATTTCATTAAAATAATATAAACACTATTCGATTTCGTTTATTGTAGGATAGATGGAGAAATCTGAATCGAATATAGGAATGTTTTGAAGATGGGATTTGATGAAGTGGCATTGATAAATATATTGATATTATGTAAAGCAAAATATTATTATATTGCTGGTTTAAATGTTCAAATAGAAAATAATCTAAAAGGCATATTAACTACCAGTTAGACTTAAACTCTTCAATAATAATCCTCAGATTTCACGATTAACTTAAACAACCACATCACATTTTATGTTATAGCCGCAAGTGTATTACATTAAATTACGGGACTTGCGTTCATTTTTAGCCTGAAACAAGGACCAGGAACCTTTTTGTTAAAATAATTATGTCAAATAATTGCAAAACTTATGATTTTCAAAAAAGTTAAAAACAAAAACATGCAATAGTACAAAAAATGACTAATATATTTCATTAGACAATTTAATCGGGAATTAGTAAATAGTAGGTATTAAAAGGTTAGGTTAAGACTTAAATTTAGAAAAAATGTATTTCGTTTTTATATAATTAAATTTTAATTTATATTTTATGAGTCTCGATATTGATGCATTCTCTTATATACCGCAAGTTGGATGCTAACGAGTTACAGGTTCCCGGTCCTTAGTCCAGAGAATGTAATTATGATAATATTAATTATGGTTAGAAGAAATTGAATCAATATAACGATTTAAAATATTATTTAAAAAAAAAAAAAACCAATAAGCCCTTACTAACACTTAATTGTATGAATCACTACAATATTTACCTTATATATTTAATGAAAAAAAATTTAAAACTTACTCATAATTTTTTTTTTTTAATACCTAAATCATTGTATAGATATTTAAATTAATATAATGAAATATTAGACAGGTATTGTTTATTATATTTGATTATCATTTTGAATAAAAAAAAAATGATTTCACACAATTGCTGCAATAATAGTAATGAAAAACAACGATGAAAATTAAAACTATTTATGGAAAGTTCATCAAGTTTATGAATAAAAACAAACAAACAATGTCATCATTATTTCTGGGAGGTATATCAACGGATGTGCAAATTACCACGTAGAATATAACTAGGATTATAACACAATTGATGCAGATATAATGATAATATTAACGTGTTGTATTTAACGATGAATAAAAAAATGATTTGTCTGCAATACATATATGAACTAAAACGTATACCAGTTGTTGAAGTGGATTAGAATAAGCGACCTACGTTTATAACGTGTATTTCAAAAAAAATTAATTAAATATCAATAATGTAACTTAAAGTCTCGATTTTCAATAATTTACACGAAACATAAAATAAATATTAAATATATAGTCACCCAAGTACGAAATGTAAGACACATTTATGATATTGATTGTAAGGGCAGTTTGATTTTTTATTGACAATTTTGATGAGGGATGAAATATGTAAACAAAATTTTGTGGAAAGATAGCATCTCTGTGTACTTCACTTCGAAGTCTTATATTATACTTAATGCACGTGAAAAGATGTTGTTATCTACAAAAATGTCGTTAAGTAACGTGCCTGATTGCGAGTTATAGCGCGCGAAATAGTGACCTTAATTCTCCTTTATAAAAACTATTCACGATACTAACTGTAAAATACTTTAATCATAAAATAATTTGTGTACTAAGATTAAATTCTATTGATCTCCTTCTCCTTGTTATTATTATTGTTGTTTGTTGGTAGAAAATCAAGACACGTAGACACATAATGTAACAGTAGGATAAGGATTAAAAAAATGTTTAGTGGCGGGTGATTGGTGATTTAGTTATATTATTTTAAAGGTGAAAAAACTCAAAAAAAAGTCACAGCCTTTGTGCGTGTACGTATATGTAGCAGAGTAGTGTTAATAGTGATGGGATATTGAACATTGAAGTAGTTTAAGACTATGTAGATACTGTACAGAAGCCTATCTATCTGCACGTATATGAATGGTTATATAGTCTTCGTGAAATAGACTTTTTGAAAATGATTTTCGTGAGATAACTTCAGCAGTTAACAATCAACAACGGTCGCAAGACAATAACGAACGAAGCAAATTAAATTTCTCATACAACTCAAGGTCCGCAAAAATGATATAGAAAATCATTTTTTTGTACACGCAGTAAATGTTGTATTCTATATATTATAAGTAAAATATACTAATAAACAGACAGTCGTGTGAATACGGTCGATACTAAAATATTAAATATATACATAAAAATTACAGTACAGATGACAACACACTATATAATTGTATTGACTATGTGATTGGTGTTATATGCTTAAAGAAACAGAACGTTTATATTATTATATATAGCTATTATAATTGTAATTATTCATATATATTATAAATACATTGTGTTCTATAATAGTATAATACAATATATTTTATATTTATTCGAACGGGGCGGGGTGGGAATAGGGGAAAAGGGAATATCCAAAAAAAAAAAAAAAAACAAAATACACTTAGTCATATTTAAGGTAAGTCAAAAGAAGAGAAGAAAAATTAAAATATGTATATATATAATGTTAAATTAAACTATTGACGAATTATATTATTATTAATTTAAAGATACGTTTTAAAACCGTAATAACAATAATATTTTAACAACAATTATATTTAATTCAATATTTTGATAACAAATTAAAAAAAGAAAACGAAAAAACGAAAAAAAAATTAATGACAAAGAATAATTTTAAAAATACGTAACAAACATATAATAATAATAATAATAATAATAATAATAATTATAATATAATATAGTCTATTGGTTTATCATAATAATTGTTCGTTAAAAAAAAAAAAAAAAATAATAATAATAATTATATTTATAAAACAAAAATTTGATTATCATCGTAAATAAATAAATATGAAATAGCAAAATCGAAAAAATAAAAAATAAAACCGTAAATAATTTACACATTTAATTGGTAGTGGTGAAAGTGGAGGTATTAATAGTGTAGGCGGTGATGGTATTTTATTTGAGGGAGAAGTGAATTAAAAATATTATTGTGGCCCATTATATTATAGTTATAAAAACCAAGAAAAAAAAATACACTCATAATGAGTGTTCGTCATCGTGTGATTATTATAATTATAACCATTATAATAATAAAACATTTACCCGTCGGTTCGATAAGTAATTATAATTTTCCAATATATATCATCATAGCAAATTAATAATAAATAAGTTAATAATAATTATTATATTTTTAATATGATAAACCTAAAAATTAAATTTACAAATAGTTTATTTCGTTCAGAAGTGTGCTCAATCGATGAAATTTTTTGTTTTCAAATGTTTTCTATTATATTACGCGTATTTTTAATAGTTATTTTTTTCATAGCATAGGACGAAAAAATAAAAGATGTATACAGATATAATAAATGTAGTTTTGAACCAGTTTTTGTGGCAATAAAAATGTAAAGAGGTAATAATAACAACAAAACGTCGAATGTCGCCGAGAGTCGCGTCTCAATGGATCTATCCGATATTATTAACACAGAGTTTAAAAATAGAAAGATGAATTGTCGAGTGTCGAACCGCATTTGGTAAAAGCAGTTGAATGGCATCTGATTTAAGTAGTCAAAACTCCTTGATCGTGAAAATTTGATTTTAATATTACTATATAATATACCTAATCTAGTTCATACCATAGGTACATAATATTATATGCATTAATGTTATGATAATTTTTATGACGGTTTCCCGAAACATTCGTTTATTTGACGGCAGTTGATATTACAACAGTATTCTTCGCTATTACTACTACCTGAGTATTGTATGTGTGATTCGTTTTGAGATCTTAATAGATGGTCTTGGTTTTATTTTATTCTACAATTATTATACGGCTGCGCCCTTACAATTACAATGAGCAACACGCGACAATTTTTTTTCTGATTTCCTGGTTTGATTTATCGTTCAGAGATTATAATTAGTTTAGGTATAGTTATTATTATTATATAATATAAGTATTAAGTTAATATTATTAAATTTACATATTTTGGGTAATTTCATTTATATAATAATAAAAACCCTAAAAAAAAAAACGAATATAATAATAATATTTTTTTTTCTTTAATGTAATTATCTTATATATTATTTTTTTTATTTGTTATCATAATATAAACATTATTAATATAATAAAACATGTTTTTTTTCAAATTTTTAATCATTATAATTATTATATAATATAGAAACGATTATTATTAATAGCATTATTGAGAAAGAAAACCTTTGGTGTAAGTGAGAGTGAGTGAGACGTTTATATATATATCTCTGGTGATAGTAGTGAGTTATTGAGTCAATCACACGTATAGGGGCGACTAATATCGGTCAACCTGTAATAAATAATAAAAACAAAACTTAAAATAGATAATCAATACAAATAAACGTTATAATTTCTTTTTTACTAAAAAAAAAAAAAATATAATGATAGGATGGTGAGATTTTTATGAATGAATAACAATGACCTTACGATGGAAGAAATTTATTGACTCTAGCGTTGTTCAGTGGTACCCATTGGTAAAAGCGGCCGGAATCAAAGGCCCCTGAAAAAAAAAAATGATACTGGTTAGTAAAAATTAAATAAAAAATAATAATTATAATAATAAAAAAAAATGTCTTTTCACAAAAGAGGAGTATTTTTGTGTATTTCTGTGTATGTGTGTGTATATGCGTATGTATTGAATTATCGATAATTAAAGCCAAATAAATATACACGACTGACTGACAACGCGAAGTTACATGAAATTTCCGAGGTAAGTTTTGACTAAAACTTATTATACATATTAAATTTTTGATTAAGTATGGACATTTAAAATATGTTGCGACATAGATCACGTAACGATGATAATACTATAATGTCACCAAAATGTATCGCTTAAATTTTAAGTTAACGATAACTCCGAACACAATCTTCATCCGAATACAAAGTCTAAACGATTTAGTTACATATCCGATATTTAGAAAGCGTGTAATTTAAAAATTTTTGAGTTCAATAATTTCATACGATTCAAACGCCATGAGTCAAAATTCTTAAACAATTTAGTTGCATAGGTAGCATAGTCGTCTGATTTCAATCGAGTTTAAACATTTATATGCAAAATAATAGTATGTATAGATACTAAAAGTTATTCAAAGTTTTAGACCACTAAAATATATATTAAATTAAATATAAAATAGTCATGTCTATAAAATCTGATATATAATAGCTTCCTATATCTCAATTGATAGTACCTAACCTAATATACATTATATTTATTACAAATGTAAAAGAAAAATAGTTTTTTGATTTGTGTATATAATTATTTTAGTTATGAATTGCAATTTATTTGTCTATCAAACTTGCAATACTATATTATATTAAATTAATTAAATAATAATTAAAATTATTACAGTTATAATTTATAGGAAATCTTTTAATAACTGTAGTTGAGATCAGTAAATTTATGATAAAAGTAAAGTATGTAAGTAATATAGTTTTTTTACCAAGAAAACAACACAACTCATGAAGAATACTCAGAAAATTACAGTTTAGAGAAACAATATGATATATAGTTCTCATAGTTCTCATTGGCAGTGATTCATCTATACAGTTAATTGATAATAATTATTTAAAAAGTTTATTATATTAAATTATAACACAAGTATCCCCATGACGTATAAAAAACATTTTAGAAAAAAAATTGACCAATATGAATACGTGATTAACATAAAAATTTTTATGATCATGTTTTATAAATATATTTTCCTTGATGATAATATGTTATCATCTCAATAAATTGAGGTAAATCTAGATATACGTTTAGTTCGATATTTAATTATAATTATATTTTACATTATTTTTTATTATCAGGATTATTTGGTGTCACAGAGATGGGCGATGACAACGATGACGATGGTTTGACGATATGATTTTACAGACAGTATTTAAAAAATTAGAATAGATTATTGAGATAAGAAAATATTTACTTATAATTCGAATCAGGGGAGATGATTTTCCGGTTTGAAAGATATTTTATTGTCATGCTTCATCAGATTTGAGTAATATGTACATAATATACACATTTGTCGCTGCCAGTCATGCGTTTAATAATAATTAATAACGGTTTTATAATGCGATCCAAATTGAAATACGGATCTTTAACGCAGAAATTTCTCTTGAAAATAATATAATGTGTTATTGGCGGTTGTTCGAAAATTTATAAAATATTATAAGCCTAAGATGTTATAATATATGGTTTATTAATATTCCCTGCAGTGAATGTCTAGATCAGTGACGGCTTTGAGTGTGGTTAGTCAAATGAGGCGCGTATAGCCTTACCTTAAAGGAACGTAGAATAAATAATTTTCAATTAATGCTTTTTTAAGTTAATTGAAAGATTACATTTTTGAATCATTATGTCAATATTTTCATTAATTTGTTTAATACAATTATTTTTTTCATCTACAAATGTTTATAGTTTGTAATAAATTGTTTTGTATAAAAATATAATGAATAATATAACAGAAAAAAAAAATTGGAAATTCCATTAATGGCCATGTCTAAAACGCACTGCGGTGGTGAATGATTTCTTTTTTATAAAACAATGCTATTGAAAAGTTAATACCAATATTTTTGTTAAAATAATATAATATTCAAATCTGTTGGTCGGCGTAATGTATAGGCAATTTTGCTACATGGGTATGTAGTGAAATAGCTCGCACTGTTCTCGATAAACGAATTTCAATATGTGAATTGCATTTATTGTCGAGTAGTTAATTATTATTAAAATAACGTCATTTTGACGTTGAACGAATTATAATCAAAATTAATTACTTCATGAATCCATTATATAAACGTTTTTATTATTTTTACTGGATATGCTTTTGGGTTATGGTGGGGATATACGTTTGTCACCTCATTTAAAATACATACATATAGTTTATATATATATATATATATATATATATATATATATACAATCAAATATTGTCATTGGTCTGGATGCATGTCAGTTACAGTTATATAATAATATCAATATAAAATAATACAGTTTTATACGTGATATTTAAAGAAAAAACGAAATATTTAGTATGTCGAAATCTGTTTTAAATGGAAATCTTTAATTCAACTTTTTTATATGAATACGAATATACAGTTTATATAATCGTGCATGTAATATATAATAACGATGACTTAATAATATTTGAAGTAACGATAAGTGAAGAGGGGAGGGATAATTTTAACTATGTGTCAGAAAAATGTCTTTTTTTTGTAAGTAGACGTATATAATAATATATGATTTATTAATTAAAATTTTTCTAACAATAAAAAGTCATTTAGTTTTATTCATACATTATAAATACGAATAAGAGTACAGTCATAATTTGCATTAATATATATTATTATTTGATTTATGTATGTATTGAATACAAATAATGATCGAAAAAATACCTTTTAACTGATATAAATTAAGATGTAGTTAAGATATAATATATTTTGACTTGAAATGAGTAATTGATAATTATAAGCATTTTAACTGTCCACTACATTTCATTTTAGACTTTTTAGTATAGTTAATACGGCAACTGAAGAATAGAACAAATGGCGTTACAGCAAAAAAAAAAAAAATCGACAAATTAAATGCATTTCTTCAGACAAAACCTATCTCTGCGGAGCATTTTACTTCGTTGATCAAGTATATAATAATACAAAAAGACGGCCTTATTGTCTTTCAATTATAGATTTAAACAATGTTTACTGATAATATATAAGAAAACCTATACAATATCATAATGTATATGAAAATAATTAAAGTGTTTAATCAAAAATTTAATGAATAAATGTATGCATATAAAAATAAATAAATAAAAAGTAAATATATATAAAAGTCGCTAAAACTGAATAAGATTTTATTATATAACAATACAGTAAGTAATTAATTATAAATATTATATGACTGTATATCCCCAAGTCAATTTTTTGTTTTAAAATGCATAAATATTAGGTATATTTTTAAATTGCTTCATGCTAAAAAAAAGCTATTAACAGATTATACCTACTGAAAATCCATAAATGTACACTTTATAGAATTAAAAAAAAATTATGGTTTTGACTAGTATCTAAATTTTTTTTATTATTAACGTGTTATCAATGCAGACCAGTGGTTGTGTAAAACTTTAGGCGGATACAATATTTATTGTAACGTCAACGAATTTTTACAATAAGAAGTAGAAGATCTTTCTTTAATTTTTTTTTTTTTTTTTTAAGTAAAGTTTTCAAGAACAAATCTTAGTAACGTCCGGGCTAGAATTGTTCCAGGGTTAATGCGCTATAAATAGAAAAGCGACACGTGATACAACGAGTACGCACATATTATATTATTATTAAAGTATATAATGGTCGAAAAAAAGAATAATATTCGAGCCTTGTAACATAAATATAAAAAAAATAATGCTTATAATATATTATTTTTTTTACCGTACACGACGTGTAATCGAAATAGTATTTTTTTTTAAATGCATAGAATATTGATTTTTAAATATAAAAATGTAACAAGAATTGGAAAAAATAAAAGTTATCGTTGAACCAAATGTATATTATTATACCAGTACGAGAGTCTAGAAGGGGAAAGTGTCATAATAATACTATTTGAAAATATAGTAAGTATTGTAATTTTAGCACACATTATCGGTTGGTATTGCTTCAAAAGTTGCATTTTTATACACTTAGATTAATGTATTTAGGGAGTTGTATTAACTCGAATGTGGATAGTAGTAATCAGGTGTATCAGGTATATAATAAAAGTGAATAGTTATAATACTCGTAGTTTGTCACGGAGACGCGATTCGAAATACATCGGAAAGTTTGCAGGTGAGCAGACGCCATAACGACGACAACGACGACATACGTTACTAGCAGTGTTTTAATTTATAATATTTCAGAATCCCGGGGGAAGGGATGCAGACTAGGAAGATCTGAGGAGACCAGGAATACTACTCGACCCCTCAGTGAAGTGATTAATTATCGCGTCGACCGAGGGCGGCGATGATGGAAGTTGAATAATGTATCGCGCGCGCGGAATCCGACACGAGTAAATATAATACGAGCGCTCACACATGATCAACGTATACGTTCTGATGTATCTACCACAGGATGAAGGGGTTAAGAGTAGTAGAGACCTTAGTTTGTTGCTTATTACATATATGTGTGGACTAAGTGGGATATGAGAAAGTGTGTATTGCTTCAGAATATGAAGGGATTTAAGTATGCTGAGTTTTTAATAGGGTGATATCAGAAGGAGCGTGGTATTTTAAATTTTGATATCAGTAAATGAATATTACATTATTTTAAGGATGATTTTCAGTTCGAAAAGTTCGATTGACTTAATATGCTCATTACATATGATCGAAACCAGTAGACTACCAAACCAATCGGTATACTTTATATTATATTTTCAGCATCCAGTAGAAGATTATTCTATTATATTATAAATAGTTAGTAGTTTTTATTTATAAATATCGGAAAGGTCATGTGTATATAATTTTATTATAAACTCTATAAAGCTGTAAAAATGATTGCATCTTTATCCAAAAACATTTTACTATACGTACATACTATCGTTGTCAAAAGGTGAGGTGGCGTTTGAATGGTACCAACAGTCTAATAATTACTAAAATTTAAAACGCTGTTTGGACGAAACTAACAATACGTTGTTGTGTATATTGTGAATTAAATGCAATCTAGACGACAAGATGAGCAAAGCAAAAAATAAATAAATATTAATTAATTAAAAATTGTAAAAACTAACGATAAAATAAGCGTGAAAACATGTCGTCTGTCGGAGTGCGTAAAAGAATACACTGGGCAGTGTTGTCCACGGAAGTTTTATCGCAGTATTGGGTTAGGTTTTAACCTTATACGTATACCTAAAATCTAATCTATTGATAAAACTATAAAATATGCGATCGTATACATAGTTTAAAGTTAATATTTTACAATTTATTACCTATAACATGTTTTAATATATTATATTTACAAAATAATCACACACAATAATACGGTAGTTAAAGGCGTGCGGCGGGAAATGTGTTTGAGGAAAGTGCGAATCGTGCGGGATGTCTATAATATATAGAGCGTCACACACACATATAATAATAATAATAATAATAATAATAATGATAATAATAATAATAGTAATAATAGTAATAATAATAATTATAATAACAACAAAAATTATTGCATTAGGCCATTTTCGGGTGTTTTTACGAGACACCTATCCCCGTCGGCGGTCACACGGCAGCAGCTACACAATGTATGTCGCAAAAATATACATTTAGGCAAATGTGTGCGAGTGGAGATGTGGATATGTGTGTGTGTGTGTGTGTGTGTGTGTGTGTGTGTGTGTGTGTTAGTTTGTCATTAGAGTTTCGGTCGATACAATATATAAAAAAAAAAAAAAAAAATACAATGTCGTGGTTTATAAGTAATAATAGTAACATGAACATACAAAAAAGAGACTGCGCTCAGAGGGAGAAAGAGAGAGAGTGAGAGAGAGATGAATTCACGTCATCGTCGGCAAAAAACGAAAATAGATAATATACTTTTAAAGGGTATCAAGAAGTGAGCTACACATTAAAAATAAATAAATTACATACGGCTTATCAAATAATTAAACGGCGATGTATGAATAAGTAATAGTATTCGGTAGTATCGGTACATTAATATTTTTTATCCCCGCGAAATATTTTAAAGTCACTGCGTTTTATTCGCCGACGAATACGTATCGTAGTTGATTTGCGTTTTGCTGGTATAGTGGCGAGCGGGGATGGTGGAGGAAAGCGCAGTCCGACTCTCTGTACGTACACACGAGTATTGTGATAGGGCGGTAAACACAAGTAGTAGTTGTCGTGTTGTCGTCAGTAGTAAGAGAGAAATGTAAAAAGGAAAAAAAAATTTTAAATAAAATAAAATAAAAAAATAATAAAAATAAATCTTATATCGTTACAAACCCTTACGCAAATCGGACTATATACCTACAGGATTGTAATTAATGGGCGCACGTGAGACGGCGATCGCGGGGAACGCGGACGGTTGCGGTGACGCTGCTTGCACGTAATCGGCCGGGTTCGAGCTGTACATGTCCATGGTGGACGGGGCGCCGGGGCCGGGCGACGTAGCCGGCGGAAACGCGGCGGCCCGCGGGTTGCCGGGGCCGCCGGTGTGCGGCGACGCTGGTGGCCCGAAACCTTGTGCGGCGACCGCGGCTGCCTGATGGTGGTAATTGCTCATCACTTGAAAAATACACACACGTATGGTCATTTGATAAACATTATACAACAATTTATAGTTATCAGGTATAATAGTAGTAAGTTTAGTGTTTTTATAATGATAACGATATTAATAATAATAATAATAATAATAATGATAACAATAATAATAATAATAATAATTATAATAATGATGACAGCAACGACAACGATAATAATATAATATAAATATCTCGACACACCGAATTCAAGATATATAACGACGCTGTTACTGCTGCACAATACGTTATTATTTTATACAAATTTAATAATATTATATATCTATACGTTTCATAATATAAGATTGTATAAATAAAAACGTCGTGTTATCAAAACACGTGATTCGATCGGAATGCAATATTATTATTAATGTGACGTGTCGCGGAGATCGGGCGAAACGTTTAACAATATAAGTCCATACGATTTTATGAATTTTTTTTTTTTTTACATATTGATCGAAATTCGATGGTATTATAACAACGATCAATACGGCGATTACGAATTATCTGAGTATTACAACATTTAGGCCGATTTTCCGATCAAATCACGTGACTCATATACTGTACAATATAATAATATACTATACATACGATCCATATACTGCAGCACTGTAATATATAATAATATAATATTTACGACGTGTACGATTGAAAAATCATTCATTCAGCACCGGAGTCGTTTGGTGGTGCTGTAAGCCCCGACTCCCTGGTAAAATATCATTTGAGTGAATATTTACTCTTTGCTCAACATTTTTTTTTTTTTACAAAATCACTAGCTGATATTGTATTTTTCAGTATATTTTCCACGAGTCACGGTAAAATTTCACTAGTGACTGAGCAGTAAATTTTCACTAGGGATATTTTACCGAAATGGGGAGGGAGGACAATTTCGCAGAAAAAGCAATGACTGCTACTTCGCATAAAAATTGAATAAAATGCTATTGGTTGACCGTTATACCGATATGCTATCTGAATAGAAAATAGTCATTGTAAATTCGAGATTCAACCATGCAATTATCAACGATCCTGATTTTGGCAAAAGCATTTTAAATTATTATTCTTGAATTTTTTAAACTTACTCCACAAACAAACATAGGTATATGATTGTTCAGAAAATTTAAAAACTACCAAGGCGATAAAGTAAGTTTGAAGTTAATAATATTTTTTTTCGGTCGATTCATTTTTAAATCTGTATTTTAAGTATTGTTCTTCGTAATATATTGTAACTTGAACTAAAATGCTTATTTTGCATTTTTTCAATGTGCACCGATTTTATATGCATTTAATATAATAATTTACCTGTGATGTGCGTATATAACATATGATTTTTCAATTAAATCACGTACTGTAATATAATACATTATATACACGTGTACAGAATGATCCATTTTATTGTCTGCACAACATTTTGTTGTTAATTTTTGTAACTTTGAAAAAAACGAGCATTTTTGAAATATGTTAAACTATGAGGAGATTGAATTATGAGTAAACTCATTATTGTTATTTATATTTTATGTAAGTAAGTGTTTTATACAAGTACGGTAATGTCGACAATGTTATTATAACGACAGCCGTCTTGTATGTGTATGTGTATCTGAGCTAAATTTAAATATTTCATCATAACTTATATATTAAATGTTCAATATTATGCTAAAGTGGACCTGAAAAAAATTGCTGCTTGTACAAAAGTTATATGAATGATATTGAAAAAAATTAATAAAAAAACCAAATTAAAATATATTAATATACAATATAGATGTTTAAGACGTGTAAGTGTGTATTATTATCGTTATTATTGTTTAATTGCATAATATTAAATTCGAGAAAATGATAATTCGATTTCAGACAACCATATTTTACTTAATAATATTATAATACGTATTAGTATATATTAAATAATATATATTATAATATATCATGGTACCACGTCTGATATCACGCACACACACACAACTACACAAGCACTCATTACCGTAATGCCGATGAAAATATTTTTATATTATATTACATTATGTAATATAAATATTTAGAAAACAAGGAAAGAAAATAGGTGAAAACAGCAAACCGCCACTGATAAGCCAAGCAAAAATAAATTATATTATAGCGTGATCAAAAAATAAATAAATAAATACTGTTTAGTTAAAGTTTTTTTTTTTCCGTTACTTAGACATTTTCCATACGCGTCATTATAATGTCTAACGATCGTTGCATAATAATAAAAAAAAAAAAAACAAATAATAAGTTCGTCACAAATAAAGATAACACTTCTTTGATGTGACACTCTAATCACTGCAAATTATTGACTAAAAAAATAAGTATTGAGTTTAGGGTATTGTGCAAAAAAACAAAAGCTTACAATTCGTTTGTTTTATTTATTAAACATGTCTAAAAGACGTGTCTATCAATAACACGAGGAGACGATGACTTTCTAAAAATTACACTTTGGTGCTTTCGTAAAATTTTAACGAGATACTTGTATACTGTATGGTCGTCTACATTATATATGTTATTGTTTGTGATGAAAATTAATATACTTTTTATATTAATATGTATCGAATTAACCTTAAGTATTTCATATATTGCTATACACAAAAATAAGTAGGTAGTAAATAATAATTATTATTATTTGATATTTTTATTGTAAAATATGAATTATTATACGGATTATATTTGTTGTTTTTTACATGATTGTATGTATTAATAATTATTTCAAACGCGATTGACGATATTGTCAGTTAAAAAATAATCATATAACATGTAATCCATCAATTATTGTTTATACTAACGTCATTTAAATTTTATCTGAGTATTATTGTGGGGTGTAAACGAAAAAATGAACATGTCTGTACACTTTTCATGTATGAAAAATGCAAAAAAAAAAGCCTGATGACATTTTATCCTTCTTCTCTCGCTCTACACGTATGGATTTTTATTGAAATTACATTAAATTTAATATAATATCTAATTATATAGCTATATCGTTGTAGGTTTCGAACCGTTTATCATAATATTATTATTATTGTGAATATATTATATGACGTAGGTATCATATTATTTTAACAAGACCGTGAAAATGACACGTAGATTTAAAATTGAAAATAATGACGTTATATTTTATGTACCAGCAATGCTATGTAATACTCGATTAAGTACATACATTTTCGCCGGGTGGTGTTTACACAAAAGTATAAAATAATAATAATATGGCCAGTTTGTGTGTATGTACCGTATTTAATACATTATATTAAAGGTCAGCCATCAACTGATCTCGTATATTGCTTATATTTGTGTAGATACCTGAAAGTCGAGGTTGTATTATTATTGTTTGGAGTCAATATCATAATATGATCTTTAGTCAGAGATCAAATGCAATGACACACGTAACGTTATAATATTAGCGATATTTAAATGCGAATTAGCTGTAAAAAAAGGAGTACATAAAGATATTTATTTATTTAGCACTTTGTCAATATACCCACTAAAAATAAGAACCTAACGGCAACCCATAAAATTGCGTAAACATTTACTCACCTCGTTTGTACCCAACCAATATTTGTGTTTGTCAATAAATATTTTTTTTAAATAATTTTACTGTATACTGGATAAAATTCATGTAAATATTTCAAAAACTAATTAATAATTTTAATTTAAGTTATTAACTGTATAATCTAGTTATGAATAGATTTTAAATTTTAGACTAGGCAATGTGTAAGTAGTGATATAAATAAAAATATATTTTATTGTAATAAATAGTAAGTAGGTGGATTTGTACTTGCATACATGTGGTAGTAAGAAAGTTTGTGTCTTTATAAAGTTTATATGTGCATGTAATATTACACCTATAGTGATATTATAATAGGTATGTAGGAAATGTTCTCTTGTTTTAATAATATTTATACTCGTATGTATAAAAAATGACAAAACACGCGTCTAAAACAACAAAACATTCGGTTGCAAAAACAAAACAAAAATAATATAATAATAATATTATACAAATACATACATATCTATAATGTAATAATATACGTAAGGACGTTTATACACATTATATTGTATGAGTGGAATAAAACATTTAAATTTCCAAATAATAACAATACACAAACACGACAAAAATACTAATATTTACTGTTTATATGCACATCTAATAAAAAAAAAAAATTGATTTACACAATGTATAATATGTGTACATATTGTATAATATACTAATATTAATAACAAAAAAATAAAGTATTAGTTGTTTAGAAACACCTAATATGTGCCGAACACAATAATCAAATAAAAAACTTTTAGTGCACAAAAACGTCAAACGCTTTGAACAAAAAAAAAAATCAGTATTTGAGTGTTATGTGTATGTGTGTATGTATGCGTATATAAATAAGGGTTTCCTCGAATAAAAGCTTTTTGATGAAGGCGACAGTATACAATTTATTTAACTAAACTTTTAAAAAATTTAATAATCTTTATACACGTTAAATTTTTATTTATTTTTTTTGTTTAGTTGGAAACGGTAAAATTCGTTTTGTATTTATGTAAACACTTTAAATAAAATTGTTGAAAAACATGTCATAAAATATTTAGCCTCATTGTGGATAGAGAAATTTAATTTTTTAAAACATTATTTTTTTCTACAATTACTATTTTAGGTACAATGGATGCACAGAAAGTTTTAATGTATATTAGAGTAAAGACCCGCCACAGTGGTTGTGTCTAGTTAGTGCTTAGTGAAAAGGATAGATTGCTTTTTTTAAACATAAGGAAAAACTCCCGAAGACTATGAAAAAAATGTCATACAAAACTTCATCAAACTTAATGCCTTGAAAAAAATATAACAAGGCATTTTATCAGGCGCCGAACTGAATTAATCAAGTAAACTGTATCGCACCCTTCTGATCGGTCCCGTCGAGCTTTTTTTTAAAAAAAAAATTGATATTGATAAAACAATACCCATTACCCATATAAAATACATAGAACATTATATATCACAAT